ACAAAAGACAGTACTCTAGAATGAATTAAGATCCACAGAAAATTATTACTCTGGACATGCTTTTGCGTGATTTTGTGATTACCGGTGAATGAATAGGAAACAGCTTTTATTCTACCTCATCCAACAAACAGCCTTAAGAGACAACACACAGAGCATGAAGAATTGGCTGGATATTTGTTTCCTTATAATCTATGACCTAAATAGAAAATATTTATCTCACAAAATGTCCCTTGTTGTCATTCAGAGCAAAAATTCAAATTTTGCTAAACTTCAAAGACCTCAATGATTGGAAACTTGTTTAACAGTGAGAACAACAGATTTGATTCCCCCATGTACTGGGTGTAGGTAATCAGGTTGTGATAGTGAGAAGGGTGGCCTCTAGGTGAGGATCTAGCAGCCCTGCAATTAATTATTGTCCTGCAACTGCCCTAGTAAGCAATGGGAGTAGTCACAATGATTAGGTTATCAAAACCAGCAGATTTTGTTCAAGAACAAATAAACACCTTGCAAGAGTGAAGACAAAAAATTGATATGGATGACTGTGAAGGACATTTTGTCCATAGACCTGACAGAGCCAGCACATCCACACCACAAAGGCCACTGGCCAGCAATGTTTTGGAGAGGGAAAACATTATTTCAGGGTAACAGTAAGGCATGTGTCAATGAGTGGCTCAGCCTAAAAGGTTTATTCAGCCTTCAACCAAGAGCGAGTTCCTTGATCTAACCTTCAGTTAAAATCTGAGAGTTAACTGTAACCACCTCAAAGCCCTGCCAGAACTTCCATGAGCTGCACAGTCCAGGCTGGACATTCCTCACATTCTAGCTGGGGAAAAAAATAAGAAAATCCCTCAATTCTTCGTGCAGAAAAATTATTTGACCCTTAACTTATTTCTTTTTCAGATACTTAGTCCACAGTGTGACCAACTGCCACATGCTTATACGGCTTTTTGGTTTTTTTCAATATTAAGAGAGCTTAGTTGTTTTTTACATGAATATTAACTACTTTCTCAAATATTTTTCCATTTCATTTCAGCTATAGATTCTGAACCTTTACCTGTTTTTTTTCCCATATATTATGGGAGACTACAGTACAGTGCAGTTATTACAGTCGTATTTTACAGTAAACCAGTAAATGTGCTTTCCTTTTAACTTACTTATAAAGCCTATAAAACATGAGTCAACCCAATTTAAGAGGGACTTCAATATTGCTCCAATTGCACTGAAAGCAGAAGCCTTCCAGTGGTCCTGTTTCTGAGCTCTGCTTATGCTCTCCTGCCTGCTTTATGTTGCATGCAGAAGTGTAAGAGAGTCTGGGCAGCAGAAGTTCCTCCTAATGCCAGTACCTGCAGCTTGGGGCCATCCATTTGAGCCCAGCCATGCTGGCAGCTCCCCATGCAAAGTGGCTTAAATGGCAGGAGGAACCCCTTTGACAAAGAAACGCATCCAGCTGTGCAGAAGCAAGAGGAAAAAGCAGAAAAACCCAGCCATATGGGGAGAATCTCCACTAGAAAATTATGATGGCAAAAAAAGAAACAACCTCATCTTTTTTCTTTAAAAAAAGGGTGTGTTGAATAGGGACCATAACACTGCCCATTAGCTGGCAACCCTCTCTGAAACAGCTGCCATCAGCTCTTAGGGCAGCAGTGCTGCTGGAGCTGTGCTGGGCTGAGGTCACAGGCAGGGCAGGGTTTACAGCACTTAAAACTTGCTGGTACAAGCACACTCGTCTAAATCATTTGAACATATACAAGGAGTGAGTTAATAATGCTCAAAGTATATTGTTAGCAATTCCCAAACAGAAAAACAGGCTGAATTCAGATTACTATTTGCTATCAGTACTCCACTGGGGGCCTTGTGTTTTGATGCTATTCCTTACGTCCTCTTTCCACCAGTCACGTTGGTTCAGTACTTCTTCTTCTTTGCATTACATGGATGTGATGAAACACAGAGAGTTTTAATTTCAGCCACTACACAAAGGGAACACACACTATACACAAATAAAAAGAAAGATGTCCAAAAGAAGTGGGTAAAAACTACCAACAGCTTTTCACCTACTGATTAGGTACTGAAAGAAAAATCATATTGTAGGCTCATCCCCGCCAAATATTTGTGGTTCTTATGTAATTTAGAACAACTAAGTAGCTATGTCCCTCCCAAAGAATTCCATAAGAACATTGATTTTAGGGCCAAAAACATGTCTCATACAATTAGTGTGGTGCTGGAGTTACATCTACACTAGCTGAGTGTCTGGCTCTTAACAGCATCTCAGTTTGCCCCTTCAATCTGTGCAGTACCAGGAGCTGTATCCATGATAGCCTTGATGCATTACACATCTGAACAGAAATTAAGAAACTTGTCAATCCATGGCCAACCAAGATGACAACACTGTAATGTTCTTTTAACTTCCCTGTGGAAAACTGCAAGGATATTTAAGAATAATTACTTTTTCTTAAAAGTAATTTGTAGCTAGCTGGCGCTAATATTCTGTCACCTCCACTGTGTTAAATGTTTGAATTAAGAGTTTTTCATTTCCTTGTGGAAAAAAATTAATAGAGTAACACAAGCAGGACAGTATTTCTTGTAGTAACATATGCAAAAATCATTACTGCCTGTTCCATCCTCTGCAATTACTGCTATGTATTCCTGAAGAAGCCAAATGTTCTCACTCTCTTTGGTAAGGGGTATTTAGAAAGACACATGCATGATCTGGGCTACAGGAGCACTGAGAAGTCTGGATAAAAGTGGATGAGATTCTCCACTTGAAAATAATGGCACTCACATAGGAAGTGATCCTCTTGCCACATCAATCCTTTTCCTTCCGCCAAGGGAAAAAGAATTCTTTTTTTCCTGCATATTATCTTGCAGGCTATCTTACCAGCCCACAAGAAACTTCACAAACAGCAAACATGGACCACAGAAACTCACAGAAAATATGGCCTATGGCCCAAGGAGCACATGGTTTAAATAAACAGAGTGCACTTAGAAGAGAGCCTGTCTCCATCCTTAACAATTTTTAATAAAGTTTTTACTGTAATGCCTTGTCTGGGGTTTTCATCAGTTTTCAACATTCCTATGGAACAAACTTTTCTATCCGTGCCAGAAGAAATATTAAACAAAATAAAAAAATTCAACTTATACTACCAGGTCCTGCCCATAGAGCAGAAACTGCAAGGTAGAGGTTTCACCTTTGCGCTATTCCTGCTCTGTCTGCACTCCCTGGAAGTCTCCTGCAGCCAAACACAAGTTCTGGTAGCCAGGGATTTATGAGTTCACTACCAAAAGCCAGAGCCAAGCCAGAGGCATGGACAGCCTCCATTCCCCCCGGATTTTTGGGCCCTGGCAAGGGAGGGCACAGAAGCCCTTCAGCTTTTCCCCTGAGGAGAAGAAGAATGGTAACTTTCCCAAACAAAGAGAGTGTGAGGTAGGGGTATCTGCAGCATAAGCAGGCCCAGTAATTTTGGTTATTTAACCCAAACATATAATCCAGTGTAATGTGACTTCCTTGTCAGCCCAAAAGTTTAACTGAGGTTTACACTGCACCACCCTCCTGCAGATTGCAAGGTCATTTGTAATTGCCCTGGTGAAAGGGGCTGCAGGAATGAATGCCAGCAGCTGAATGCTTGTTCATTCTACACACAGTGCTGAAGATGGTTCCATAACCCCTTCTCCTAACAACACATGGGGAAAACCCTCAAAAAGGGCTTCTTCACTCCCCTTCTTAATTAATCATCCCTGTGTTTTGAAGTAGCAGATAGGAAAGAAGGAAAAAAGTACAAATTAAGTTGATGCCTAACATAAGAAAACATCATGAACAAAGCACAAACCAACAAGGGAATATAAAAAGCGCTCAAGTATTTCACACCTTGATGAAAATCCATACAGAGCAGTCCTCATCTAAGCTTAACCTTAAAGCAAGCTTATTAAACTGTCTTTCAGGGGGTTTTATCCCAATGGAAAGTCTTCCTGAAGTCTGGTAACCTTGCAATGGAATTTTACATAGAGTTGTTTTCAGATCACAAGAATACTGAAGGCAGCATAGACATTACTTCTCTGCTGTAAAAGATTCTCACTCCCTGTGTTTTGGATAACAAAAATTGAAAAGGTGTTTTCATTCTTTAACATAAACCATCTTCTAATCATCTTTCTAACTAGAACAGACCTCGGCAGTGCTCATTACAGATACCTTTGCCTCATGTCACAGCTGAGCACAGCTCTGTCTTTGTCAATGCCAGCAACATTCCATCATTTGAAGATTTTTCTAAACCTCTAAATGAAAGGACCCAAAAACAAAGCAAAAGGCAATCCAAAACCTCCCATGAATTATACTTTAATTTCAGTTGTGGAAGGAAATGCCCTTTCAACAATTAAACTATTTTTCTTGCACCAAAGTAAAAAAAAATCCCTTCTTACATATTTTCCAGTGTAAATAGTAGTCATTATATGTTATTTGACCACGAATTCCAACCATCTATAAAGCATTACTGGGTGACCAAAATGCCACTAAGCAGAAAAAATAACAGATAACAAGACTTTCTTTGGACAAAAAACTACAATTTAGGTGGTTACTTCTGGACAAAATTGTAAGGACCTTTAAATCTAATTTAAATAACATTTCAGAAAAAAAAAAAATCCACACCCCCTCCCAGCCCCCTCCAAAACACCAAACCCAGAAAAACATTTGGTTTAAAGATATATGCACCATTTCTCTGCCCCCTGGTGTTACAATTCGAAAACTGGGTTTCCTTTCTTTTCTGTGGGCTCAGTGCATTATACATTTACCTTTGTGTTAATTCTGTCCATGTTTTTTTTTAATGGTACATGATGTTCTTTGGGTTTGTTCTTATATTCCACTTACCAAACAAAAATTCATTATAAATTGGTCGTGGTTACAAGAAGATTTTTCCATATTAGTGAAACCCTGGAATTACAGCTATGTATCATCTTCACTTTAAATGTGATTGCTGCTTTTTTCACCCTGATTTCATTTCTGGCAAACTCACCTCATCATCATCCATCAGATGTTCCTTCGCGAATTCATACAATTCCAGCTGGAGCGTGGTAATGTTGTGGTACCGAACTGCCTCCTATCAAAAAACCCCAAATTTCTGTTACTTTAGGGCAGCAAGACAGGCCAGTGCCATCACATGCCTCCTGAAACCATCCCAGGGAGGTCACACCCAGACCTAGCAAAGGCAGATCCAGGCAGGGATGAGAAAGGAAACAGCAGAACAGCAAACAGCCCATTCCAAACTCTTCTGTGGATCTCCCTAAGCACAGGCTTCCTCACTGCAAGAACAAAGCACTCTCCTCCTTCTCACGTTTCAAAGCACTGGCAGGCCTGAGAATAAGGCAGGAGGCTGCCAGGGCTGAGCAGCAGCCTGTGCCTGCATTCCAGTGGGCTTTGGACGGGAGAAAGGCTCTGTCTCCCTGTGCTGGCTGTGGCAGCAGGCAGTTCTGGGAAAGAGACACACAGAGCTGTTCTGCATGATAATGACTCACCAGCCTGAGCCAGGGCTAGGGGAACTCTGCAAGGTCACTCACCTGTCCCTCCTCACTTCCCCACTGCACAGGGTAGCTCAGTCTCATAGGGTCACATTTGTGAGTACCAGCTGCCATCTACTTTGATTATTCCATTTAACTCCTCTTGGGGAAGAAAACAGGAGACCCCCTCTTTCACAAGAACATATAAAGGTCAGTGCCAGAGCCAAATGTTGCTGTCACCCCATTACCACTTTTAGAAAATATACCAGAGGCATCATGGTTTTCGAGGCAAGTGATTAGGACAGCAAGCAACTTCTGTTTACAGCTACACAGATCAAAGTACAAGAAAATACAGCTGTGTGCATTTAATATTTTGTATTTTAAAATCAAATTATCTGTAGTGCCCAGCTCCAGAAGTCATCAATGAAACATTCAGAGTGCATGTGTAGGGCCCTTGTTCTGCCCCCTCTGCACTCGTATGCCAAACGTGTCTGTGGTTTGCAGTTTCATACTGTTGCTACCCCTCACTCCCACCACCACCAAACATTGTCTCCAATACGGTCTCAAAGCACCATTCTGTTCCCAAAAGCAGCGACAAAGGAGCAGTCCCCTTCCCCTGGGAGCTCAGACTTGCTGCTGCTGCTGCCTGAAAGGACCAAATGCATTTTTGTTGCCTTTTGTCTCAGTTGGCCCCACAGGGCAGGCCTGGGCTCCCACTGTGCCAATAAAGTGTGTGCTCTAAGAGGCATGACTAGAAGGCACTAAATTTAATTTGTGGAACATGTATTGCTAATGACTAACTAGTTGTACAGCCCATATGACTGATGCCTAAGCAGTGAGTGCCACAATTTAGCTGCGTGACTTAAATCCTGGTAACAAGAAACATTAGAAAGTCCAATTTGATGTCATGGTCCAGGCTGTAAAATTTCCTTGGACATGGAAATTTAAGAACAGCATAGAAACCCATTTTTTAAATAGTCTTCCAAAGTCAGATGACAACTATTGCTGGACAGACTGGTGTCTTCTTTGCAGCAAGCATTTTAATTTAGATAATTAGATGAAATGCAGTCCTGAGCCTCTTTCCATCCTCATCCACCCAACTGTGTTCTAAATGGAGTAAGTGGAAAGCCAGTTTAGCCGGAGTTACCATATTCAGACACATTCCAGTGCCCACAGAACCTGAAATAACAAGCGAGTGGGCAACCATGTGTTGGCAAATAATGATTCACAAAAGCCTGAATGTCACTCAGAGATTTCATCATCAGAGATTTCAGGGGCCAGCTGCTTTATTTATAAAGGTACATAAAGACATAAATATGCCTAAGTGTCAGAGAAGTACCAGCATGGGTTTACTTCTCATCATATATTATATGCTATCATAGCATGTTTCAACAGAAAGGGAAGAGTTACAATGGCATTCACTGTTTACATGACACACTGCACCTCTGTGTACAACTTTCTATATGATTTTAATAAAACAGGACATGCTAAACTCCAGAACCAGAAGATATCTCACATTTTCCCACTGAATTTCAGAGAAATATTTGAATGTGTCTAGAAGGCATTTTAGGTAATCCACCTACCGATCTGGGCTGAAAATCCTCCTCTTTAAGTCCCCACTTGTCTTTGTGGTACTGGTAATAGACCATGTTCTGTTTCATTACTTCATCTTTTTCATCAAACAGAAGGTAACTGGCAGCACAAGCAGCTGCATTCTTCATGTCATTCACTAATTGAGAAACACACACCAAAAAAATCCAGGTAAGGTAAATGAACAAATTCCTGTTATTATCTAAGGTCTGGAAAACTCAAATGGAAACACAGCCCATACTCTACCTCCTCACCAGCTGCATAGAGGAAAAAAAATTGCTCCCCAGAAACTATGTGCTATTTTTGCTCTAAAACACATAAGGCCATGATTCAAAAATCAACTCATCACCAACCTCTGATGGTTTTCTATGAAAATCCTAACCAAATGTTCCTCCCAGGTATTCCAGTATCAACCCACAGCTTGGCAAAACACACTGGGGCATTTATTTAAGAAACAAAATATATATATATATTAAACTCCTCCCTACTTCTCTGTACTTTGATAAAGAGGGAAGAGTCAGGGTGTTAAGTGTGTAGTCAAACAACACAAGCAAGAGTCATTAATGGCTTGATGCTACATGGCTGATGTGCCTTCCCTTTGATATTGGAGCCTGCAGGAACAGCTGTAAGGGCTACATGTGCTCTTTACAGTGCAAGCAGTTTCTCAAGAAACCACAACTTTCACTGATTAATTTACCTATCAAGCATGTCATCACTGAGCAATGAATACTACAATTTCTTTTAAGTGGTCCCCTCTTTCTTCAAAATCTATTTAGCCCCATTCTAACAGCATGATAAGAATCCACTAGGAAAAAAAATCAAATAGTATGAAATACTCTGTAGGTTTGTCTGTGGAAGAAATTCTGTCCCATGTGTGTTAACTACAGTGATAACAGGGTGCAAAAGACATCAGGAAACTTAGATTTTCTGTCCCAGAAAAGTGTAAAATGAAGATTCTGGAGGGCACTACTTATATTCTGAAGCATAAAATTAGAGGGAAAATATTACGAATGGAATCCGTTCCACATCATCCAACATCAGTGTTATTTAAGCACAAAAAATTACTACTTACATTTATAATACGCAAACTGCAAGTAATGGTACATGGTGGCCACAAATTTTTCAACGACAAAGCCTCCTATAATGGGTGTCAGATTGCTCTCACACTGCACTTTGCATGCAAGGACTTCAATATAATGGTCTGGAAGGAAGAAAACAGCAACAGAGGATATGGATAGCACAGAGCAAATTGTTATAATCACTCCCATTAGTCACCCATTAAAATCTGGCCTTGTAATGCTCTCCTGGGTCCTGTGCCTCTGGCTCTTGCTGCTTGGAAGTACTCAGAATCTACAATTCCATCTGAAGTGTGAATCAAGTGTTGGTACTAGGCCCTTCTGTAAAAATCTGTGTGCCTGATTTTTAAGGCATCATCAGAGCTGGAATTCCAGAGAGCTGAGCACTGAGGTTTCACTGACACCTACAGGCAGCATGTGGTTGGTGGGTTTTACAGAGTATTACACAGTACTGCATTATGTCCTAGCTGTATTTCTAAATTTTGCAAACCTTGGCAATTTCATTGCATTATTGCACAAAGAAGGTCCCCGTGGTGCTGAGTACAACTGTGTCACAGACAGATACAGCAGGTGATTGCAAAATAAACCTCCAGAGATGGCTGCTTTACAGGCCCAGAGTTTGGATGTTTTAAGGCAGAAGAAAGAGGAGAATATGCTGCTCACCACAGAAAAACTTTCAGCCAGGAACATGTAAGTTCACAAGCTCACCCAGTCTAAAAATTGCTATACATAATGCAAGACTATTGCTATATATAATATAGGACTATAGGTGCTGTAGGAATATAGGACTATTTATCTTCAAGAAAATGCATTTCAAGAAAACCTTCCAGCAAAAAATTTCAAGCATTTTCCAAATATATCACATTCATCAACAGCACAGAAAATAAATATTTTAAAGTCTTAGTTTCCCTCTAAGCCACATTTGGCAGGTGAAAGCAAGTTAGCTAAGCTTGTGCAGCAAATTTCTGACCAAGACAAAAGAACTTTTCATCCCTGACAATTACTAACATGAAAAATACTGAGGTTAACTAAATATAACTGCTGATACTAATTAAAAATAACTGGCCAAATGAAATTCCCAGACCCATCTTTTACAAGAGCAGTGGAATCTCCAGACACAGTAGTGCTCAATTCCAGCCAGCAGTTAAAGCCAGAGGTGTGTCCCTCAGGGAAGTGATCCCATGCAATGAGGACAGCTGGCTTCCTAACACAACTCTCTGCTCAGTGATAAATACATGCCTAGGGCAAGAGCCAAACACTTCTGGTGAACACTTACTGCTATATCTGCTTCCTGCAGATCCTTGGAGGCAGAATATCCCTCCCTGGAACACAAGCACGATTCAGCCCAGGCAGTGCAAATAAATTTGAGTGTTCCTATCTCAAGAGCGAAATACTTGAAATGCATGAACATGGCCATGGTGACATCATGCTGTAATTCCTGCCTTTCCTTCCCATCACTGCTGCTGGGAATTGTCCTTCCCATCCAAGGAGGAAGAGGGAGGATGATAGTAAGTGTCAATCACAGGTAAGCAAACACACTGCTCTTCACAGTGGCTTGGGGATTGTCCTGATGTCAGAGCTCTGACCCACTAGGGAACAAAGTCTCTGTCTCTTGCTTTACCTCCTGTGATTTGTGCTTCACTCTGTTTTTGTTATCCTAGACCCCTGCATGTTTTGCCCAAGATCCAAGAGCAAGTCAAGGCTTGAGAAATAGCCTGCAATATCTATTCCATGTCAGCTGCTCTGGTGGATACCAGCTGCACACCATGAGAAACTGAAGCTGCTCATGTATAAAGCTTCACAAAAGCTTCCCCTCACCAAGACATATTACGGCTTTAGGACAAAAAGTTGGAATCTTTCCCTTAGGGCAACTTAAAACACAAAAAGAGCAAGAGAATTTCTAAGTTTATTGAGAAAACATGCAGGCGTTCTCCACAAAAGTATTTCCAACAACACTGAGATGTCAGAGCACTGGACAAATTACTTGTTTCTTTCGCTGCCAAAGAGCACAGGAAATGTGCATGTGCTATTACGACAACAATCAAAAAAGTTGATGTCCCTCTTCAAAGCAATGGATTTTTATTTTTTTTGCACTATAGACACAAAATACAGATGTTACCTACTAGTAAAACTCTAACGCAGATAAGATTAAAAATAGCCAACACTTGTCATACTTAGGAGAAAGGAGATGCAGATCACCAGACCTACACAAAACAGAAAGCTGATTGCAAAGGCAGGCTGACTAACCACTGAACCTCAAAGTGATACTGAAATGATGGTCAAGAGACCTGGTTGGATGACCACTGCTACCCAGATGGAGCAGTTGTTATTTACATTTCTATGTTACTTTGACACAGAACTTCCATGCTAATGTAAGATCTCTGTTCCAGTTTCCTGATAGACTTCATTTATGTTACTGATGAGAGCATAAAGTAAACCAGAGTTCAAACATTTTTCAGTGAATCTAATAAACTCCTAAACTGAGGAACAGGGCTTGGGTAACCAATCCTATGAATAAACTGAAAGGCACTTTGGGGACACTTTTCCTTCATGTTTCAAGGTAACCACTGACCTGCAATGGAAAGATAGAAGTCTTTAAAGTCTGTGATCTCTCGGGAGCCTTCGCAGGCTGCTATGCAGTCGTCGTAGGCTTTGAAGAACTCGGGAAGCGCCAGTTCCATGTCTGAGATGGACGTGCGCCAGTTGTCGCCATTGTACGCTCTCACCGCCCTGACAAAGAGATTCTGCGAAATTGGCAGCAATGAATCGGCAGGAAGTGACCCGTGAGAAGTGTTGTGTAAACCCAGACACAGCAAGTGATGTCTCCACATTTCTGGATGAGCTGCTCTCCAGATGATGTGAGAACAAACACAGGAGACTAATGGATTTTAACAGGTATTTCCCAGAGAGGAGAGTATGTCACTCCATTTCCAATCAAAAGAAAAGCCTGCTGGAGAGAAGCAACAGTGTGAGGCTGTGACAGAGATTTTCAATGGAATCTTAAAGCCAAATGTCTGAGCTATTTTCAGCTGTGCCACTACAGCACTAATTAATTTGGATAACCAGGCACCTGCTTAGCTCCAGCAGCAATCTGCATGTAGCAGCTTTCAGGTACGCCACTCTCTGATTTGCTGTGACTCATTTGTGGAACAATGAAGTGCAGCAGAGGTGAGAATTACTGAATGCACCAGGAAGGCAGAACAAAGATGACTGAGATGACAAAAACAGACTAAAAACTGAGAACACATAAGCAAATGAGACCCCTGAATCTCACCCAATAAGAGGAGTAATAGAACAGTCGCAAAAGAGCAGACCCTACGGAATAAAAAGCATACCTCATAAGGCTTTATCTCCAAGTCTTTAATATGCTCCTCAGCATCAGGTATGCTCTTATAGTAGGCCATATTTCTTTGCATCATTTCATCATCTGGATGCTTCAGAAGAAATGTGTGAGCTGCTGCAATAGCTTTTGGAAGATTATTAGCCTAAACAGGGATAGGGAAAAGAAGCTGTTAAAAAAAAAAGATTACCCGGAGAAAACAAAACAAAACAGTTCAAAGGTTCCCAGTTTTCTCAATGACTTTTCTTGAATTCTCTAAACTCACAAATTTACTTCTACTGAGAGCACAGCAGATACAATTGTACAGTAAAACTGATATAATTCCTCTCAGTTTTACTCCTAGAAGAGTGTGAACAATTTACTCAGAAATCTATCATTTTTGCAGATAGAATAGATGACTGCTGTAAATCAAAAAGATTAGGTTTTATCCCTTGCCCCTCCCCTGTTCATAGAGCTGACAAGGCAAAATACCAGGGCTCCTGCGAGGGATTAATCTCACAGCAAGTACTGATGCTAACCAATGGATAGTAGTCAGGAGTCTTCACTGTTTGTATGTGTTTATGTCATTTATTTGCCCAGCAGCACAGAAGACATTATTAAAATAATATGTCTTCCTGGTGGCATTACAAAGTGTAGAGACTTGGTCAAAAACTGAGTCCTAAAGCAACTTTCTGAGCCCATTTTTTAATTAACTTTAATCCCTGTTAGATATACTTTGTGACGTGTGCATTTCTCATTTACAACTGTATGTACCAAAGATGTATGTACTTCTGTGTGCGTGCCATTTAGGATTCCTTAAATTTTATATATATATACATACACATGCATATTTTCATAAATTATATAGTATATGCACATATTTAGGAAGAGTGAGAAAGCAAAAGTTTGGGGTATTTGTGAACTGTTAAAACCCCTTTTCCAGGCTGTTCAGTGTATATATACAACATCAAAATACAGATGTTACCTACTAGTAAAACTCCAACGCAGGAAAGATTAAAAATAGCCAATAAAACCTTGTCATACTTAGGAGAAAGGAGATGCAGATCACCAGACCTACACAAACCACAAAGCTGATTGCAAAGGCAGGCTGACTAACCACTGAGCCTCATAGTGATACTGAAATGATGGTCAAGAGACGTGGCTGCATGACCACTGCTACCCAGATGGAGCAGTTGTTATTTACACATCTATGTTACTCTGACACAGAACTTCCATGCTAATGTAAGATCTCTGTTCCAGTTTCCTACAGACCTCATTTATGTTACTGACAGGAGCAAAAAAGTAAACCAGAATTCAAACAATTTTCAGTGAATCTAATAAACTCCTATAGAACCCTACTCACATGTGAAACAGCTTCTGGCAGCACACATGTGAAACCACGAGCAAGAGTCACAGTGTGCACACGCACCCTTCTGCTCACACCCATGAAAGGTGCCCTTTCATTTTGGAAAGGAACATAAGGGATGGCTGCACAGCAGCAAAACTTGAACCCAGCCACTGCTGCTGTGCTGCTAGGAATGTCCCAGCACTGGAGCTCTGCCAGCTGCCCTTCCTGGCTGTCCCAAAACTACGTGTTTCCAGTCCGCCCCGACCGTGCTAAATGCAAAGGGAAATCTCAGCTGCACTTTCGTCAAATGCCTGGTTTCCTCTGTGCTCTAGCTGTAACCCTGCTTCTTTGGTAAGCTGACAAGTCTCATTTTTATTTAGGTCCATGATTCACTCTTGGTTTTAATTTTCACCTCTTAGGAAAAAAAATAAAATAAAAAGAGGTTTTGTAGAAACACACACCAAGTGAACTCAGTGGCTCTGAGAAAGCTCCCTCCAGAGGAGCAAGCAGCAGTGCAGGAGCAGCTACTCCCAGAATCTTACAACGTGGCAGATTTCTCTGTGAGTCCACCTGAATACACACATGGTTACTCTAAAAAATTACATAAAGTATTTTCCTCCCACTTCTTCCTCTACTTTAAATGCTGTTGGGGGGGTGGAGGGGTGGGGGAAAGGACATTCCTTTCACAGAAACCACCAGCCAGGAAAAAGCCCTTTGGATGCAGCAGTTTGTAGCTCTGGAAGGCACATTTAGAACTCCCTGAGAAAGATAAGGGCTCAAAGCTGAACTACAAATCCAGTATGAAACACAATATAAACAACAGACACTAAAAGCAAAACCACCAAACTACTACTGAAACTCAATGCAAATGTGATTGAAAAAAAGAGTTAAAAGGGAGGGGGAGGGATTCCTCCAATTTCCCTCTCACATTCCTACCTGGCAGTTACTCGACTGTATTCAAAATGATAAGAGATTATATTTGGTGTTATCTGTACAGTGCAAACTTTGTACACGCCACAAGGGGGGAATTAATAGTTAAATTAAGATAAGAAGAGGAAACATTTGTGATGATGTCATTTTGGTATCCATATATAGCTTTGAGAATTCGAGGAATTCCTGCCCTCTCCAGAGGCTAAAATGTATCAAGTTCTTTGGTATGGTCTTAGGGAAGGCATTAGACTCCAGTGTGACGCTGTGCATGTGGATGCTGTTCTGGTTTCATGAGAACACATTTCCCTGAGAGTGTTTGGAAAAACTGCTGAGGAAACACCACTCCTAAAAACAGGGCACAGCAACAGTTTAGAAGATGTGTGTTTTCAAGAGGCAATCTCAAAATAATGCACAAGCATATAACCTATGTAGTGTATACTGGGATATGTTGGGAGTGAATCTCTAAAAGGGAAAACAATCTAACCAAAGAGCTCAGCTTGTTTCCTTCCTGTTAATCTCAAATGCAAATAACTGCAGTGTCTGAGGGGATGGCAGGACAGATGGACCTGGATATAGAGAACAGAAGATGAAGATGAGAAGGGAGAAAATAACCAATAAGATCCTGGACAGAAGAATGATAAGAAGCTAGAACAACAGGATGAAATCTGTTAAGAGAAGTGTGTCCCCAGTCTTGGCTGACCCAAGAGCAAAGGTAAATACCATTCCAAGGTATTATAGTGTCCCACTTCAGCAGCCAATTTTTGCTTCGTTCCTTCTTGCAGCTGTAATGAAACTGGAGTTTTCCAGGCATGAGGCTATGGGCAAGTCACAGGCTGGGCCAGGCTGCTGCACTTGAAAGAACTGGACCAGAAACGAGCAAGTGAAGAAGGTGGGCACACTGAAGGAGAAGAAGCAGTGAAGATCGCTTGCAATAGCAGAGCTGTGACATGAAGAGTCTGAAAAAGGTTCCAGAGAAGTTAGAAAGTAAGGCAGACGGAAAGATGGAAAGAGAGGGGCAGGAATGACACAGCTACTGGACACAGAGGCAGCATCCAGTGGCCCAACCTCTAGGAAGAAGTGGAAAGGCTGTTTCTAGGGGGTGGGTGTGCTGGATGAGTTGTAAAAAACGAGTGAAGAGGGAGCTGGATGGTATGTGGATAAGCAGGGGGAAAGACAAGGCACAGGCTAATCCCACTGTGGGTTACAGGAGTGGGAAGAAACAACTGAAAGGTTCGCCAAGGAGAGGATCACAAAAGGTAGGGTTGACAGTCTAGGGGGGCAAGGAAGAAATGGAGGCGAGGCAGATGAGAGCTGGTGCGGAGGAGGAGGTGATGGGGAATGAGGTTGTGGCCCAGAGTAACCTGCTCCGAGGGCCAGGTGAGAGGTGGGCATGACAGGAGGCTTTTCGAGCATCGGGTGCACGAAGCATTTGGGCACACCACGACACTGACAGGCGCTTGGCGTGCCTGGAGGGTGACACCGCACCAGGCGAGACTTTGAGAGCCTCCGACACAGGCGGGGGAAGCGGAGGCAGGACAGCAGAGCGATGGGAGGAGAAAGGAGGAGGGATCAAGGAGAGGCAGGCGAGGGCGGGGGGCTCACCTTGAAGTAGGCGAACTGCAGGTACTTGTAGGGCTCGCGGCGCTGGAACTCCTCGAGCAGTTCGCGGCCGG